AATGAAGTGAAATGTTTTTAAATGACTATACTAGTGTCTTATACAACCTTAGCTCAACTATCTAGAAGCTGTAAGTTGCCTCGCTCCTCTGCGGATTATTTAGACATCTGAGTACTATTCTTTGTCTTCGTTCAACATATTCATATACTGGTTTGAACCAGTAAAAATTCCTATAAAATTTATAAAAAGCAACAATTTGAACGAAGAATCCTCTTTTCAATAAATTCTCTTCAGGTTCTACAGTTATAATATGCATTTGTACAGCGTGAAATCAAGTCAAGATAGGAGCAAATACATTTCCAAAATGGAGTGAAATTCAGGGATTGTAATGAAAACGAATTATCTTTTTTAAATTAGTCAATATTGAAATGATACATATACACAGGGATGATATGATGCTGAACAAAACATAACGAATGCGATGTCAGGGGAATGGCCTTTAGTTAGCTGAAACACATATATGGAAAATTAATGTCTAAGGCACAGTATACGCACTTTCTCAGCTTTGTACCGATGAAGTACAAACGTAATATAAGCAGATGCCTGGCATTTAAAGTAAGATCAATTTGTTCCAAGGAGTGTATCGAAAAAGGAACTACTTTATATCCGTGATATTCTAAGTGAAAACGGATATCCTGACAACTTCATCAAAACTGACATCAACTGCAATGGTCTTAAACAAGAACTGATGACGGTGGAGAAGAAGCCTTTGTTTCTGCGCTTACAACAGTCCGAGACTAAAGGATAGCCCAAGTAATCTTAGCTCTTCCTCTTGCATACATCAGTTTAACTGTTCATTTTGAACTAGTTACGATTAGGCAGGTATATCTCTGAATACGAAATGATTTACCGGCTTAGTTCTCAAAAGGTGAAGTGAAAGTAGTGAAAAGTTCCATCCTGACGCACCTAGTAGATACAGGGCATCACCTAGATGTTGATAAAGCTTCCAGTGTCGTGCCACGTGTAACTTCCCAACTCCTACTCAACATAACTGAGGCTGTCGCAATAAGGTTGATCAAACCTGAACTATGCATTTAGAAAGATCATATCCAAGCGTTACTCCTCCCTTGATCTTTAGTAAACTGAAGGCCACTACTGTCTGCGTTATTCATTGTCTTTTCATTCACTATCCTATTATTCGTCTGTATGTATGTCATCCCAATATTGGCAAATTATTAGAAGAAAAATCAATTTCTTAACAGTGCGTAGATGATACTCCATTTTGAAAATGTATGTACCTCTAACTTGGCTCGTTTTTGACGTAGTACAAATGCATTTTATAATTGTAGAACATGAAGAGAATTTATTGAAAAGAATATTCTTCGTTCAGATTGTTACTTTTTATATTCATATTATAATTTAGTAGATTCGTCTATCTCGTCTGTGCAACTGATTTCTTCATAAGTACTTATCGTACAGCCGCAAGTTATATGACTAAACAATGTTTATTTGCTTGGTTGTGGCTAGCAGAAGAATCCAGGATGTGCGTTTCATCCTATATGCGACTCACTCGTCAGCTGGATTATACCTGCACCCCACTACACAGAGTGATATTGTTTTCACTGAAACTGGAACCTCGTACCTATCGCTTCAAATGCCAAGGCGTTATCCACTATGCCATGGAGGCATGATAGCCACTTCTTGTACAATGGTCGAACAATTCGATCCATTAAAACAACGGAACACTGCAAGCATATCAATAAATAGTAATTAAACAGTGTTATTGATACTGAGTGATGATTTTGGATGAGATGGAAATATGGCCCAAATTTTCATTTCGCCTTCTATCATCATTCAGTATCAATAATACGAGTTTGCAAAATCATAGCTACCTGAGATAGTGGAACTAAACAATGTTGGCCGTAGAAATGGATTCACTAAATATTGATCAAATCTAGGCACTGAAGTCGACTCAAATCACCTTGACCTGAACAGATTATTTGAAATGACGATTCAAGGTCAGACTGAGGAGATTATCATGTGCATAAGTTGGTTGGATTTAGACATTTGTGTAAATAAGTCTGACTGATTCTTCTCACTTTATTCAAAATATTTAGCCTTGTCTGATTATTTTAAAGACAGGTGTGAATGTCTGAATGACATTCTTATGATGTGTGAGTCATGTTGTAGATATTGCCTGTAATCTGAGTCGAGCAGATAACTAGTTAGGTTGGGGGTGTGATTAATGTGATGACCTAGTAGTTTTTGTCCTCTCACTCTCCTATGTATCTTATACGTCATTACAAAGGCTAAAGTGATGTGCTTTGAGCTGGGTATTAAATTTTTTTTTATTCGATCAGGTTTTTCATTTCTACTTCAGTCATATACCATTGTATTCCATAATGTATTACGTACCATACGTTCTGTTGAATAAAGTACTTTGAATATTGAAAAAAGGTGAAAACAAAAATTTTGCAAAATACCCATAGATCTGTGTTTATTTCGGAGTTTCTCATCAGCTGCTTACGATCTAAAATAATCTTAACATCAATTTATACAAAATGAAATACGAACAGAAAGTTGTTATTCATCGTAGACTGACATTAGTTGGAGGAACAAAGGAAACCTGGGAGCACTGGACAACTGTTTCATCCTAGTATGGGACTCCTCAGCAGTGCGCACCCACGACCCCACCAGCAGGGATCGAAACCGTGACCTTCGGGTTCCGCGGCCAGTGCGTTACCGTTGAGCCGCTGGGTCAGAATCCAGTGCTCGATATTTCCAACTTCTGTTAGCTCACGATATATAGCGCAACCGCCACTTCCTTGATGTTGGAATTCAACAAACTACAGTTAGTATTGCACAACGATTTATCCATCTTAAAGATTCTTGGGGTGAAATGTATCACAATTTCAGACTACTTTCATCACATAATTTATGAGAAAGAGATGGTCAAAACATTTTTCAACTGCTGAAGATATCTTTGTTCAAAAGAGACACTGAAAGAATAAATGATCATTATTGAAAAATGCCTTTGCGGTAACGCATATCTACAAAAATTCATTGATAATTACGAGGAAATATCAAATAAAAATCTAAAGTGTAGTATAGTCGAGAAGGAGCCTGTTTTCTTAAGTCTCTACTTCAAAGTTGATGATGTCTACGAGGTTTAATTACCGGATAAATGCGCTACCTTGAAGAGGATCTATCCAACTGCCAGGTTAATTGCAGTATACCAAATGACTGTGACAGTCAAAAGTTAATAATTCCCCTTTCAATATTACCATCAGTTGTATATACCGATCCATTTGTGCACGGCAAAGTATAAACGTTGAAAGAATAGAACAACTAGTTTATAACCACATGTTTGAGAATGTAATATAACAAGGAAGTAGGAAATATGGACCATTGAATTCCAACTCATTGGCTCAATGGTAAAGTGCTGGCTACAGAACCTGAAGGTTCTGGGTTCGATCTCTGGTGAGGCGGGATCATGGGTGTGCACTGCTGAGCAGTCATGCACTAGGACGAAACAGCTGTCCAATGTTCCTCCAATCGATGTCAGTTCACAATGAGTAGCAACTTCAAGTCGTTGTTTTGCGCCTTTTCCTGCTAGAAAACTTTCTTTTTACCTTTCTTCTGTCTTGTAGTTAACCGGTAGTGTAGTACAAGTAGTTTGCACAAGGTTCATCATTTCACATGTTAAATTAATGAAACTGATCTGTTTATAGTTGCCACATTTGGATAGTGGGTGTTTTAACACACTTAACGCCTTGTTTTTTTTAATCAGTTACGCAGACAAACACCTCGCTTTACTGCTTGAAAATTGACAAGACTGAAAATGTAAACACTTTCTTGGGATTACTTATTGTTACTGAGAGAAATATCTTCACTATGATTAGTATCCTTTTTGAATATGTTGCATTATTCAGTATGGAAATTATCTCTGGGAGGGGGAGAGGAGGGGAATCCTTCTAAATTTCATGAACTGAATTTCAGCACCGACACATGTAATGGTGTCAGTAATCACTTTTAGACATAAATAACTAAATTCAGTTTGTAAGGTGACAAGATCTTGTTATCTGTATTGATGACGAATTCGATCTCCTCCATGTAGGTTTCTGAGAAATTATCCACTTATAGTGTAATTTACTTGGTAGTGGAATCCAGTATGCACCTTTCGTCCGATTTAGAATTCTACAGCTAGTTACTGTCAGGCAAATTACATCATATTGAATCTTTATGTAGTATCTAGGCGTCCACACAAGACCCCATATCCAAACAGAGACCAGTTCATTCGGTTCAGTATTATATCAACGGGAGAAACTTAAAGGAAGTAGCCTCTTTCACTTATCTAGGCAGCATAGTTTCAACTACAGGCGGCACTGACGAGGACGTCAAAGCCAGGACCAGAAAAGTAAGACAGGCATTCATTAACCTGAAAGCAGTGTGGAGATCTTCTGCACTCCGCTCAGCATAAAGCGTGAACAAGATCCGGATTTTCAACACCAATCCAGTCAAGTCAGTGCTTCTTTATGGTTCAGAGACTTGGCGCGTTACGAAAGGGATTTCCAACAAACTACAAACATTCATCAACAACTGCCTACGCTGGCTAGTTACTGAAACTCAGATGGCCAGAATAATAAGAATACGAAACAAGAAACTCTGGCTGACAGGCAACGAACCAACGAAGCAAGAACCTATCCCTCAAGAAATATGCAGAAGGAAGTGGAGATGGATTGGGCATGCACAGAGAAGACCGACTGGGGACATCACTTGCCAGGCCGTGTAGTGGAACCCAAATGGGTCGGGCGTCCGAGGCAAGGGTGACATGCAGGAGATGGTGTAAGGAAGAAATGAAAGCTTGTAGGCATTTGTGGAGCCAGGTTGAAAAGATTGCAGAGAAGAGAGTGGAATGGAGACGTGCTACTGAAGTCCTATGTTCCACTAGGGACAAATAATAATAATTGTGTTTAGTTATTTTTTTCAGTAATCTTTTTCATTTTTGAACATTATAGTGTGAAGTGTAATTTTGGATTTTTATATTCTTTTTCTTTTAGTTCGAAATTTTACTCGAATGCGTATCCATACTTTAAATTCATTGGATTATATTGCTCTTTTTCGTCGAGTTTCTGTTCAATTCAGTAATGGAGGTCGTTATTTTGATCGGAATCATTCACCTACTGTTGTTGATATACAACGTGATGTTTATAGTTCTCAGCCTCGTTGGGTTCCTATTGATTTGGGTTTCCGTATAGGTCGTTATTTAAGAATTACACTATGGTTTGACTATGATTGGATTATAATTTCAGAAATTACTTTTGAGTCATGTAAGTATCTAGTTATCTGTTTGTTTGATATTGACTATAAAATGTTTTCCAGTCTATTTTTGCTATGTACTGACTTAAAATATACTGTTGTATAAACGAGTCACCATCTTATTATTTTTACCGCCATTGTTAATGTACACTAATATACAAGGTCATTGACCACGTATTTTCGTATCTGTTAATATTATCACCAAAATCAAAAGCATATCTCTAAACTCTAATGATATTGATTGTAATTCAGTTTGGATTCTAATCCACTGACTCAGTGACAGTGTGCTGGCGACGGAACCTGAAGATCCTGAGTCCGATCCTCTGGTGGGGCAGTGTCATGGATGAACACTGTCGAGGAGTCCCATACTAGGCCGAAACAGCCGTCCAGTGCTCCCAGATTTTCACTGTTTCTCCAACATACCAATTCATGATAAATACTAACTAGAAATTCCTATTATTTAATGGAATTCGATTTCGAAGGAAACTGGTGGATTTTAAACTGGCTTTCGTGATAAATTCTATTGACTGAGCATCTGGAAGGAAATGGATAGCTGTTCCATGCTCATATGCGACTCTTTCGGGTTTCATTCGTAGAATAACAGAATGACTTCATGAGTAGTATTATGATGTTTTAATTATTTGAACAGTACCTCTGTTTATAGGTGTGTTGCTGGATGAAATAAATCACGAAGCATCACTCACGCTTGTCCTCTATCTTATTGCGGGTGCCTCACACTGAATTACCTGGTTTTCAAGATTGCTGTTGATATATTTGGCGTGCCTCGAGACTTGTATAGGCTAAGCAATAAAACTCGTGACTCATATTGATGAAATCCTTCCTGAGAGAGTACTTAGAGGGTGAGGCTAAAAGTTATCCCCACGTGTTGTAAAGTGTGTTCTGTTTGAAAATAAGTATTTTTCTATTTTCTAAGCATATTTTTGAAATAAAAACTGCAATCATAAATCCTTTTTGGTTCAATTTGAGGCCTGAATTAACTTCGATTTCTGAGCCTCATTATTCACAAATAAATGTAGTTACCTATTAACTAGGAGATGGAAAGCTTAGTGATGCCTTTAAAGTGAAGACAGGAAGGAGTAAGACAAGGTTGCCGCCTACTATGGCCCATGATCCTCCTGATTGTGGTCTACTGGACTGGACTGGATCATATAAGAAACTGTGAGGAGCGAGAAGATGGGCATATGCATGCTGAACCGATGAAAAGACCCAAGGAGATTTGAATTTCGCCGCCGATGATGATTTATGCCCAATGTCTTGTCGTACAAACTCGAAGATCTACATGCGAAAACTAACAAGTTGGCAAAAGAGGCGAGGCGAAGCAGCGAAGGAAGATGGGACTGACTTCAAGTGAACGTGGAGAAGACAGAGGTGATGAAGATACCCAACCGACAACAACAACAGCAAGCACCAATGACTATGGATGGGAGAAATCTAAACGAAGTTGTCGCTTTCACTCACCTACTTAGGCAGGGCAGCATATTTTCAACTACAGCCACCACAGACACACACGAGGATGTCAAAGCAGCCAGCATCCAAAAGACAGTAAGACAGACATTTCTGCATTAATCTGAAACAATCAGTGTGGAGATCTACTCCACTCCACTCCACTCCACTCAGCATAAAACGTGAACAAGATACGGATGGATTTTCAACACTAATTCAGTCAAATCACTCAGTACCTCCATGTGATGGTTGAGAGACTTGGCGGCGTGTCACAAATAGCATTTCCAACAAACTACACATATACATCACATCAACAGCTACCACCTACTCTCACTCGATACTGAAGATGGAGATCAGATGGCCAGAATAGTAAGAATAAACAACAAGCAACTCTGGCTGGCTTGCTGGTGGGCGGGCTGGCTGACAACGAACCAACTAACAACCTATCGTCCAACAAATATGCGGAGGAAGAAAGTAGGGATGGATTGGATTGGATTGGATTGAACATACATGGAGAAGACGGTTTAGGGACATCACACACCACACCACACTACACTACACCAGAACAAACCACGCCAGGCCAGGCCGTCAAACGCGACCCAAAGGAGAAAAGAAGAGTTGGACATCTGAGGAGAGAGTGACATGTAGAAGATGGTGTGAAGAAGAAATGAAAGCCTATGGGTAGTGGTGAAGCTGGGTTGAGAAGACTGCAGAGAGTAGAATGAAATGGTGAGGTGCTACTGAAGTCCTATGTTCCACCAGGAACCCAAAGGACAAGTAATAAAAATACTAATGGGAGGTGGAAGTGCAACGAATACTTTGCTCTTGAATAAACGGCATGAAACATGATTCAGTGACAGAGGGCGTTTTAGAAACTATCAAAATAGGTAAAATAAGGATGCACCATAAAGAAAATATGCTAGTTATAACAAGCACGATAACACCTGGGGATAACTTTTAGCCTCATCCGACTCCGTTAGTGAAATCGAGTTGTTTACCTTGAAAAATTTCAAGTTTTTAGGTTCAGTAATCTATTTAGATTATCAACTCTCCAACTTCTATTTTTGAAGCCAACATACATCAATAATAGTGTCTCTGTCTAATATGAGATTGGCCAATAATTAATCCCATCATTAATCACGTTTCATTGTTCCCAACTTTACCATTTTCATGTTAGAAATACCATTGTATTCTTCAACAATATCATCCTTCTCTGTTTATTTGTGAATGATCATTTTAACCTGAAAACCGATTAGTACCACCGGTATCATTCGATTGTCATTTGAAATCATGAGAATTGTTTAACACTAAACAGATGTGTACATATATAGATGAGTTTTTGCAAACTATATACGCTTGTCAAATAACATCTAGTAGTTTAGGTTTGTTTATTATTATTATTTCATTAAGCATTTCTCCGCTAATTAATGAATTAATTATTGGCAATCATTTTGTCCGACCTCATTTAGATGTAAGTAAGACGTACATACATACATACATACACACACCTAGGTGAGAGTTTAGTGGCTTAAATAGATGAAACGATTGTGCTTGTGATAAAATCCTCTGTGAAACTGATGGTATTCTCAGTGTATTTCGTTTGCATATATGAGAGAGAGAGAGAAAAAAAGTAAGTTGTATGGGTGGGATCATTAGATTATTTATACAATAAATCATAAAACATTTTTGATTCCATGAAAATGTTTCTACTTCTGATGTATGTTGTCATTTTATTGACAAACGGTAACTAACTATCCTATCATGCATACAAACGTGCTACTACGATTTTACTAGATTATTTAGCATTTGTGCTATATTATCCTTTTGTAAGCATTTAGTCTAATAATTGTACCTTTTAGGAACTTGTTTGGTGTTGACTTAGATTAGGTGTTTGTGAAAATACGTAGTCAGTTATAAGAATCTCACCATGGTTTCTCATGGAAGCCAGAATATTCAAATCTTGTAGTGTAATTGACTCGATGATACAAACGGTGTCAAGATTACTAGCATGAAATCTTTACGAAATTTACTACTTATTGACACGAGTAGTTCTAAACCAGACTCATTCTGATCAGGAGTGCTCGGTAGCAACACCAAGGTGATCTTGAGCACTAGACAACTATTGCAGTCGTTTGGGGACGAACTCATCAGTGGTGTAACTGGGTTGATACATCTCAAAGAGGCAAATTGTTCGAAACACCCGAATCCCGGCTAGCTATTTGAGAAGGTTAGTCATACGTTGCATCGTTCATGCTAGCACTGTTGACGCCAATTGCGGTGTCGAGTAGATGAGATTATGTGGTCTGAATATTTTGATTTCCAGACACTAGATTTGATCCTAGATATGACCATTATGCTCAGTTAGCTAGATGGGATTCGAGTGGTATGAACAACTTGGCTCTCTTAGGTGAATCAGTTCAGGTATACTGATGATGGGCTCCACCCTAAACAAATGAAACAGCCACCTGGTGTTTAGATCACCTTGATCTTGTTAGCGATCACTTCTGACCAGTTTGAGTAGTCTGGAACAAGTTATTTCAGTCGACAATATATTACATGCAGCTTCCTGTTCGCTTTTCTGAATTAGTAGTTCCTTTCTTTGATATTCTTTGGTAGTTGTGCAGTATTGATTACGACTTGCGTTTATGGTGGATGTGGGGTTGGATATGGATTCCCGATTTATAGTTTCTACCTATTCTGTAAATCTGTAGAGGGTACAGTTCTGAGTGAGTACAGATCGACTTGTAGTGTATACGTGCACCTTCATATAAAAATGCCTTCATACACTGATAGGTCTATTGGCACTACTTCTGTGTATCATATTTGAACATTAATAAACATCTTTCAATTGTATGGTGCAGTTTTCATGTACAAAAAGCATTTTCAAACAGTTACTCTCAGTTTATTGATTACAGGCTCATGTAAAGGCTGATAAACGGCACATACACTTGAACAATAGATAATATTTGTTTGGATAAAGTAGATAAGTCGGTAGATAAGGTTATAAATAAATAACTAGGAAGGATGGGGATGGTGGTGGAAGTGGTGAAAATTCCTCTGTCATTCTTATCGCTTTGCATTGAATTCACTTTTCTGCCTCTAAAGAAGTCTAATTTTACGGCAACGTCAAATTTTATTACAATTTCCTGCAGATATCCGTATGGGATATGCATGTCTACGAACAAACAGCGAAAGAAAATTTGTTGCTATGTTTTCCAACATCTTGAAACCAATATTATGACTCATTTCCTCGAGCATGGTAGATACAAAGGTAAGAGAGAGAGAGAGAAAATAGAATAAAGGAAAGCAAAATTTTAATCATCCCTTAGGTAGAAAGAAAGAGAATCATTATTCCATGACTGCATAGTTGTTCATAATGTAGTATTTGTTTTGGTACTGAAACAGTTATTATGATCTAAAAGGTCATTCGTCTGTACTTTTACATGAGTGATAGGCTGACTAGGTCAACCAGCCAACTTGGCTAGTGATGAAGAATATGACAACCTGGTATTTTAGTGTCATTGCTTGTATTACACTGTCGTTGATT